CATCATATTATAGACCTGACCTGGACATAGGCCCCTATATAACCATACACATTATATTATAAACCTGACCAGGACAAAGGCCCCTATATAACCATACACATCATATTATAGACCTGACCAGGACATAGGCCCCTATATAACCATACACATCATATCATAGACCTGACCTGGACATAGGCCCCTATATAACCATATATATCATATTATAGACCTGACCTGGACATAGGCCCCTATATAACCATATACATCATATTATATACCTGACCTGGACAAAGGCCCCTATATAACCATATACATCATATTATATACCTGACTAGAGCATAGATACCATTTATAGAAGACAGAATAAATTATGTTCAACCACATTTTATTGTGAAGTACACAAACTATATTTGTATTGTGATAATAGATGAATTATGTAATAAAGAGTGGTGTTTAAATAGTTATTTTTTCTCTTCCTGTGCTGATTGGAAATATGTGTGTATATTTTGAGAGACTCATTCTTACATTTTACAATATATCCTAAAATGATGAATATTTCTGTTGAAAGCAACTAATAAAGATTGGGAAGGATTTTTAAGACTTAATATTTGTTGAATTCCCGCAACAGGAGGATCATTTCCAAGCCGTGCTGTCCAGTTCTGCCAAACACCTGATCTCACAGCAGTCATCATTAGTGTCTCATTCAGTTCTACTTCCACAGTGCCAACAGGTCCGTGACGCTATGTACCCCTTATTGTATCGTTGTGTGGTCTAAAGAGAAATAATGGCCCAAGGTCAAGACAGATTCCAAACTGCAACTCTTACTTACTAGAGTGAAGTATTAAACTGTAGTCATATGTTTTATAGTAAATACATTTGTCATGATATTGAAATGATATCATATAATCAAAAAGAATCTTAGTCTTGATACTAACCTCTTTTTTAATGTTTGCTAATGTAAAACAGATTTTTTAAACAGATTCCTTCCTTCCAAGAGCCAAAACATGACACAAGATCCAAGGTCCTCCACGTGCCGTGGGAGTCCTCTCCTCTAGTCTACAAAAGTCCTCTACAGCACTTCCGATCTTACAGGTACGTAGTACATCACTCCGGTAAAAACTGAAGCTTATCACAACAACTTTATGTTCCAGGTATCTAAAAGTTTGTTAAGGTAGTAACAAGGAGAGACGTTTTACCTAAGTCAATGGTATCCCACAGGTATATATCGGCTCGTTATGGTAATTACAATGATATATCAGTTAACTATGTGACTGGTATCCTACAGGTATGTGACAGCTCGTTAAGGTAATTACAAGGAAGGTAATTACAAGGAAATTAACTTTACAAAATTGAAAGGTTGTACGAATGGTCAATTTCAGCACTTATCCAAGTCAAGGGTTGAAGGTTTGTACTGTCTCATTTTAGTTTCACAAGTTGAAGGTTTAAGATTTGTACCATCTTATAAGTAAACCAAGGGTTATATGAACAGGATAATAATCATTATCTTTATATAGTATGTATGAAATGTTTTCATTGATGAATAGAAAAAAAATCTAATAAAATGTACGCTATGACTGTTTCAGGTTTAGTCCTTATTATCGCACCAGAGCCAACCTCACTCTGTCTTCCTTTACATTTTCCAACAAAATCAATCCAAAGAAAGTTCTATGCAAGTACGATCTCCAAGGAACCTGTCATGACGAGGAGTGTGGGGGGTAAGTAAAACAAACATGTCATTGACCTTGTGGTAGAATACCCAAAATTAAATTTTATTTCTTTTACAACAATCTTGAAACAAGTTCTACCAACTTACATTAATCACTTTTGTTGCCCCGGATGGTAACACTCTGGGGGTCTTAATGTGGGAGGAAACCAGAATACCTGGAGAAAACCCCCTGATTGGGCAGATGACCCAAACCCTTTCATGTCTGATAGGGGAATCAAACTCCAGTCATCTTGGTAAAAGGCCAGTGTGCTCTCCACTGTACCACCACCCGCCCACAGCACAATTAATCGACTTCCTGTTGGACAAATCTACTCAAACAGAACAACATTTTCCTTCGCAAAAATGCTTGCTAGGGAATGCTTTTCAGGTTGAAGTGTCAAAAGTCAAGGTCGCTGTTACTATATATAGACAATTGGTTGCTGCACAACACTTATACTTCAGTTTCCAAAATCAAGTCATGTTATCCCTCAACTTCAACATGGTTTGGTTTTGTCCTAACATCAAAATATGCATTTGCAACACAATATTTTTTCTCTCTTTTGACTGCTAGGTGTTGTGATAATTTTTCTTATTGATTGATTAGAAAAAGGTACTGTCTTGAGAACAGAAACAGACCTCAAATTACTGATCCTGTCAATAAAAAATTACCTACCTGTAATTTCTGATCCAGATTTGTTAATAGAAATTTGTGCACCGCCTGTCTTATTTTACTGAGTGAAAATGCAAGGAACAACGCACCCTAAAGTGTCATGTTACACCCTGTGTGTCTCGTGTCTCATTCAGGTGCGATAGTAAAGGACTTGGCAAGTACAACTTGTGTGCTGTGTGTAACACCCAAGCACTAGTCCTGTTCTACATTATAAGTCAATGATACATACATAAGTGTCTAAGGTAAAGGCAGATAGTTGTCATATGACCTTACCTCTACATATCATATGACCTTACCTCCAGATGTCATATGACCTTGCCTCTAGTTGTCATATGACCTTACCTCCAGATGTCATGACCTTACTTCTATTTGTCATATGACCTTGCCTCTAGTTGTCATATGACCTTACCTCCAGATGTCATATGACCTTACCTCTAGATGTCATATGACCTTACCTCCAGTTGTCATATGACCTTACCTCTAGATGTCATATGACCTTACCTCCAGTTGTCATATGACCTTACCTCTAGATGTCATATGACCTTACCTCCAGTTGTCATATGACCTTACCTCTAGATGTCATATGACCTTACCTCCAGTTGTCATATGACCTTACCTCTAGATGTCATGCATTCGCAACACAAAAATAGTTTCTCTTTTGACTGCTAGGTGTTGTGATAATTTTAATCTTGTTACAAATAGGATTTTTCTTATTGATTGATTAGAAAAAGGTACTGAGAACAGAAACAGACCTTTACTGATCCTGTTAATAAAAATTTTACCTATCTGTAATTTCTGATCCAGATTTGTTAATAGAAATTTGTGCACAGCCTGTCTAATTTTACTGAGTGAAAAGGCAAGGAACAACGCACCGTAAAGTGTCATGTTACACCCTGTGTGTCTCGTGTCTCATTCAGGTGCGATAGTAAAGGACTCGGCGAGTACAACTTGTGTGCTCTGTGTGTAACACCCAAGCACTAGTCCTGTTCTACATTATAAGTCAATGATACATACATAAGTGTCTAAGGTAAAGACAGATAGTTGTCATATGACCTTACCTCTACATATCATATGACCTTACCTCCAGATGTCATATGACCTTGCCTCTAGTTGTCATATGACCTTACCTCCAGATGTCATGACCTTACTTCTATTTGTCATATGACCTTGCCTCTAGTTGTCATATGACCTTACCTCTAGATGTCATATGACCTTACCTCCAGTTGTCATATGACCTTACCTCCAGATGTCATATGACCTTACCTCCAGTTGTCAATATGACCTTACCTCCAGATGTCATATGACCTTACTTCTATTTGTGATATGACCTTGCCTCTAGTTGTCATATGACTTTGCCTCTAGTTGTCATATGACCTTACCTCCAGTTGTCATAAGACCTTACCTCTAGATGTCATGCATTCGCACACAAAAAAAGTTTCTCTTTTGACTGCTAGGTGTTGTGATAATTTTAATCCTGTTACAAATATGATCTTTCTTATTGATTGATTAGAAACAGGTACTGTCTAGAGAACAGACCTCAAATTACTGATCCTGTTAATAAAAAAATTACCTACCTGTAATTTCTGATCCAGATTTGTTAATAGAAATTTGTGCACAGCCTGTCTAATTTTACTGAGTGAAAAGGCAAGGAACAACGCACCGTAAAGTGTCATGTTACACCCTGTGTGTCTCGTGTCTCATTCAGGTGCGATAGTAAAGGACTGGGCAAGTACAACTTGTGTGCTCTGTGTGTAACACCCAAGCACTAGTCCTGTTCTACATTATAAGTCAATGATACATACATAAGTGTCTAAGGTAAAGGCAGATAGTTGTCATATGACCTTACCTCTACATATCATATGACCTTACCTCCAGATGTCATATGACCTTGCCTCTAGTTGTCATATGACCTTACCTCCAGATGTCATGACCTTACTTCTATTTGGCATATGACCTTGCCTCTAGTTGTCATATGACCTTACCTCTAGATGTCATGCATTCGCAACACAAAAAAAGTTTCTCTTTTGACTGCTAGGTGTTGTGATAATTTTAATCCTGTTACAAATATGATCTTTCTTATTGATTGATTAGAAACAGGTACTGTCTAGAGAACAGACCTCAAATTACTGATCCTGTTAATAAAAAAATTACCTACCTGTAATTTCTGATCCAGATTTGTTAATAGAAATTTGTGCACAGCCTGTCTAATTTTACTGAGTGAAAAGAAAAGGAACAACGCACCGTAAAGTGTCATGTTACACCCTGTGTGTCTCGTGTCTCATTCAGGTGCGATAGTAAAGGACTCGGCAAGTACAACTTGTGTGCTGTGTGTAACACCCAAGCACTAGTCCTGTTCTACGTTATAAGTCAATGATACATACATAAGTATCTAAGGTAAAGACAGATAGTTGTCATATGACCTTACCTCTACAAGTCATATGACCTTACCTCCAGATGTCATATGACCTTACCTCCATATGTCATATGACCTTACCTCCAGTTGTCAATATGACCTTACCTCCATATGTCATATGACCTTGCCTCTAGTTGTCATATGACCTTACCTCCAGTTGTCATGACCTTACTTCTATTTTTGCAACCTTAACATAAAATAATTATAACTTAGCAAGTATTTGCTGCAGAAAAGTTTAACTTATAACACATTTGTAGCAGAATTCAGGAAGGATAAACATTTTTGTATAGCTTCTTGGGAGTTTTCTCCCTTATACCTAGAAATGCCCCTGTCCCACATAAGTCAAAGTGTGTCCCAACCATATAACTTTATTCACATGTAAACATAGTAAGCAAGAAGACACAAACGCATCTATACTACCAAGAATAGCCTCAGAGTCTGGCCTCGGCCCTAGGTTATATATAATAAGGAAAGGGTTCAGATCTCGCCATCCCGTAACCATGTAACACAATTGCTGGACATGAAGGAACAAATACCGTCACGCTACCAGGATGTCTGTGGGATCCTGCCTTCTCCCTGGGCTTAATCCTTGATTTACAGATGAAAAGATTACCTTGTTAAGTTAAAAAGATCCCTGGACAAAGAGATATATTTTTTAAGGTATGGTCACCCTGGGCTACAAGAGGGCTGTTCTAATAGGGTTCATATAAAATCATTTTTTCACCTATTGCACTCTTAAACAAAAGGTTATTGAAAATGAAATGGTTTCTTTCCCAAATGTCTGTGATATGATTTATTTGAGCATTAACATCAATTTGAACTTGTCGGAGAAAGATAATTTAAGTACTATAATATCTTCTAAAAGTCCAGAGACTTTATTGAAAATGTGTCCTGCATTTGGAATGAAATTGGACTTGATATAAGTAATGTATAATCAGTTTTATATAATATTGTATAATGTAATACTGTAAACGTGGAATATTATGCGCGGGGGAAATTTACGATTATTACGCGGAGTTAAATCGTCCGCGTAAATTTCCCCCGCGTGTATGGTTTCGTCGATGGTCTAAGGAACGACAACTCTGATAGATATTGGTACTTGTGTGTGTGTGATGTCCTCCTGTAATATTGCTTTGTTAACATATTACTAATTATTTGACTAAATAGCACTCACCTGTTTGATCCGAGGTGATTACGAGATCAGCTGGTATAAGACACACATACACATAAATACAGTTCACCTTTATTTTCATCTGTCCAATGACCAGTCGGTAGGCATACATAACATGTACTCAGTAGCTACTAGTAGTTTTACCTGTACACATTTTGTAACGTAAGGGAAATAACTCTGCAGAGTAAACGTCGGTCTACCGCGACCGCGTAAATTACCCCTGCACGTATAGATTTTGACCTTCAAATTGCGTAATTTTCACCCAGCGTAAATAATCACGTTTACAGTAGTAATGTTCACTTTGCCATCAAATTTCTGTGTAAATATAAATGTGCTAATGAATCCAGTTGATCTACCTGTACCGTATTTGATATAAGTTTGTATAAAAGACCATGTAATCAGGTTCCTGGATCTGTTATAAAAATTGACCATTTCTCCCCATTAGAAAGAAAAAGTCCGCAAGAATAACATGAGTTCCAGTGCCCAATTTCTGAAGTGTGATTACACAGGAACTGGGCATTTCTGATGTATCATGATTGGTATGACGAGGAAAGCACTTGGTATGTGTATTGTGCTGAGCTTGCTGACAGCACATGTTAGACATAATTTATGATGAGCCCAGCTGCTGGCCTTATTCAGAGCCTAAGATATGTGACAAGTACAGTATGTACAAGGTTACAGGGTAAATATACATTTGTCCGGTATTGTGGTGGCGTTAAGACACTAGCAGAACACCTGCAAATTGAGACAGAAATAGTTATTTTATAGCTGTGGGAAATGTTCTTGATCACAAGTAATAGTAAATAATGGTTCAGAAAAAGCTGTTTTACAGCTGTGGGAGATGTTCTTGATCTCAAGTAATAGTAAATAATGGTTCAGAAATAGCTGTTTTACAGCTGTGGGAGATATTCTTGATCTCAAGTAATAGTAAATAATGGTTCAGAAATAGCTGTTTTACAGCTGTGGGAGATATTCTTGATCTCAAGTAATAGTAAATAATGGTTCAGAAATAGCTGTTTTACAGCTGTGGGAGATATTCTTGATCTCAAGTAATAGTAAATAATGGTTCAGAAATAGCTGTTTTACAGCTGTGGGAGATATTCTTGATCTCAAGTAATAGTAAATAATGGTTCAGAAATAGCTGTTTTACAGCTGTGGGAGATATTCTTGATCTCAAGTAATAGTAAATAATGGTTCAGAAATAGCTGTTTTACAGCTGTGGGAGATATTCTTGATCTCAAGTAATAGTAAATAATGGTTCAGAAATAGCTGTTTTACAGCTGTGGGAGATGTTCTTGATCTCAAGTAATAGTAAATAATGGTTCAGAAATAGCTGTTTTACAGCTGTGGGAAATGTTCTTGATCACAAGTAATAGTAAATAATGGTTCAGAAATAGCTGTTTTACAGCTGTGGGAAATGTTCTTGATCACAAGTAATAGTAAATAATGGTTCAGAAATAGTTGTTTTACAGCTGTGGGAGATGTTCTGAACAGATTATACAGTGTCTGTTTTAGACAGAACACAATGCTATAAGATTTCAGTTATACAGGGCTAGGTTTAGAAAAGATACACGATTCTTACAAGATTCCATATTGTACAGGGTCTGGTTAAGACAGAGTACATGGTTTTTAGAGGTATTCATATTATAGAGTTACTGATTAAAACTGGTTACATGATTAAGAAAATTGAGATTCCAGATTAAACAGGATCTGGTTTAGAAAATACATTGTTCATCAAAGATTCCAGATTGTATAAGTCTGGTTTAGACAGGGTACTTGGCTTGTATAGGTCTAGATTATAGAGGCTATGTTTAGACAGGGTACATGGCTTGTGTAGGTCTACAGATTATAGAGGCTATGTTTAGACAGGGTACTTGGGTTGTATAGGTCTAGATTATAGAGGCTATGTTTAGACAGGGTACATGGCTTGTGTAGGTCTACAGATTATAGAGGCTATGTTTAGACAGGGTACAGGGTTTGTATAGGACTACAGATTATAGAGGCAATGTTTAGACAGGGCACAGGGCTTGTATAGGTCTACAGATTATAGAGGCTATTTTTAGACAGGGTACAGGGTTTGTATAGGTCTACAGATTATAGAGGCAATGTTTAGACAGGGTACAGGGCTTGTATAGGTCTACAGATTATAGAGGCTATGTTTAGACAGGGTACAGGGTTTGTATAGGTCTACAGATTATAGAGGCTATGTTTAGACAGGGTACAGGGTTTGTATAGGTCTACAGATTATAGAGGCTATGTTTAGACAGGGTACAGGGTTTGTATAGGTCTACAGATTATAGAGGCTATGTTTAGACAGGGTACAGGGTTTGTATAGGTCTACAGATTATAGAGGCTATGTTTAGACAGGATACAGGGTTCATACAAGATTTCAGATTATACAGTGTCTGTTTTGGACAGGAAAAATAGCTGATAAAGGACTCCAGATTATAGTGAGTCTGGTTTAGACAGGATATACAGTTCATACAAGATTCCCGATTGTACAGGGTCTAATTTAGAAAAGATATATTGCTTGTACAAGATTCCAGATTGTACAGGGTCTGCTATAGATTTAAGAAAGTGAAGTATTACAGTTATCATGAGTTGTGGGATATATACATATAAAACTGCATCATTAATTCCATACAAAAAACATTGTTTAAAGAATTAGAGATGACCTGTGGTGATAGATTGTCACCGGGCAATGTGTGACAAACAACCACACTTGTGTGGTAGAGGGGTTGGCCAATACATGTTGGTAATGTGATCCTCCGCGGCTGTATCGGGTGGTCCATGTGTACAGGTGTTTGGGGAGACTTCCTGTGTCCCTGTCACACATCTCCAAGCTTTCCCTCAGCACCCTGTCGTCTGGTAGCATGTGTTGCATTCTCAATAAAGGATTGACACAGCAAGAAATTCAAGCGGTTCACTGTAGTGTAATTGATGTAGTAGAATGTGTTGACTTAAAACACATTCTTTTCAGTTTCTTGCTTGTTTATGTCTCCCTGCAGGGAATTGTCTTAACTTTAGGACCAGTATTCCATCACTCTGTTGAGGACGATTCCTGTCTATGTACCTGCTGCTGGACAGGTATATCAGCGTGGGTGGTCTGTACACCAGGCATCTGACAAGGCTAGCGCTACCTTACTTGGCTGGGTGTATCTGACAAGGCTACCTTACATGGCTACTTGGCGGGGTGTATCTGACAAAGCTACCTTACATGGCTACTTGGCTGGGTGTATCTGACAAGGCTAGCGCTACCTTAGTTAGTTGGGTGTATCTGACAAGGCTACCTTACATGGCTACTTGGCTGGGTGTATCTGACAAGGCTACCTTACATGGCTACTTGGCGGGGTGTATCTGACAAAGCTACCTTACATGGCTACTTGGCTGGGCGTATCTGACAAGGCTAGTGCTACCTTACTTGGCTGTGTGTATCTGACAAGGCTACCTTGCATGGCTACTTGGCGGGGTATATCTGACAAGGCTAGCGCTACCTTACTTGGTTGGGTGTATCTGACAAGGCTTCCTTACATGGCTACTTGGCTTGGTGTATCTGACAAGGCTGTCTTACTTGGCTTGGTGTATCTGATAAGGCTGCATTACTTGGCTGGGTGTATCTGACAAGGCTACCTTACTTGGCGGGGTGTATCTGACAAGGCTACCTTAGTTGGTTGGGTGTATCTGACAAGGCTACCTTACTTGGCTGGGTGTATCTGACTTGGCTACCTTAGTTGGTTGGGTGTATCTGACAAGGCTACCTTACATGGTTACTTGGCTGGGTGTATCTGACAAGGCTACCTTAGTTGGTTGGGTGTATCTGACAAGGCTATCTTACTTGGCTGGATGTATCTGACAAGGCTACCTTACTCTCTATAGAGAGAGAGATTGTCATGTTGTCCAGACTGTTGGTATACAATGTTCTCTGTGAGAGAATGTCATGTTGTCCAGACTGTTGGTATACAATGTTCTCTGTGAGAGAATGTCATGTTGTCCAGACTGTTGGTATACAATGTTCTCTGTGAGAGAATGTCATGTTGTCCAGACTGTTGGTATACAATGTTCTCTGAACCTTCATCTCTCTATAGAGAGAGAGATTGTCATGTTGTCCAGACTGTTGGTATACAATGTTCTCTGAACCTTCATCTGTCTATAGAGAGAGAGATTGTCATGTTGTCCAGACAGTTGGTATACAATGTTCTCTGTGAAAGTTTTTTTAGGTCGCCTAAGCTTTAGCTCAAGTGACCTATTGCTATCTGTCTTCGTCCATCGTCGTCCGTCGTGCATCGTGCGTCGTCCGTTAACATTTTACATTTTCAACTTAAGCTGAAATACCAGCAGAGGGATTTCATTAATATTTCATGGGAAGGTTACTGACATCTTCCTGACCAAGTGTTGTTATTTTACGGGTCAATCAGAAATCCAATATGGCTGCCACGGACGCCATTTTGAAAAACTATTTCAAACTTAAAGTCAAATTTTACTAGGCTGATTGAACTGAAACTTTGTAGGAATGATCGACTCTTGGTCCTGACAAAGTGTTGTTATTTTGCGGGTCTATTAGAAATCCAATATGGCTGACACGGCCGCCATTTTTAAAAACTATTTCAAACTTAAAAACAAGTTCTAATAGGCCGATCTAACTGAAAATCGGTCTAGGAAAGATCAGCTCATGGTCCTGACAAACTTAAGTTAACGTTATACTTAACAATTTTTTACTCAAATTGGTACATATTTCAACAATAAAAATAAATACTGTGGGACTCAGGTGACTGTTAAGGCCCATGGACCTCTTGTTTTGTTCTGTCTAGACTTTCAGTATACTGTATTAAAAGAAATGAAGCTGTTCTTTCTCTATAG